TTCAACAATATTGAAATCAAGTATACAAATTTCAACACTATATTGGCTAGGTCGGAACTCTCATTCGGGAGGCGCAACGCAAAAATATCTCTACAACTACCTACCTTGATTGTTATAATTTTAAATTATTTTGGAAAATTTACAATAATAAACTAACGAAAAAACATGAAAAACATGTAAAATTCGTAGGACCCAGATGAAGCAATCGACGTAGACGAAAATGGGGAACAAGTCGAGTTGAACGTGACCACGACCACCAAACCCACGTTGACAGGCATACCGCAGATCGACTACGTGCACGATCCAAACTTGCCTCGGGAGCTGAACGGTTACAACTTGACGGACTATCCGTTCCTAAACTCGGTGCCAGAGGAAATAGAATTCAAATGCGACGGATTGCACGATGGTTTTTATGCGAGCGTTCCCCATAAATGTCAGGTAAGTCCATCTTATAAATTTATATTTAAGTGGGGCGTGAGAGGTTTATTTCTATAACTACATTATTGCTTAAAATGTAAAATCTATCATATTATGACAAACGAAAATACAAGATTTTATTTATTTATGAATATTGACGCCAAGTGCATATTATTGGAAAATTAGCAATATCATGATAATGTACACAATTGTATACACAATCTGGTATTCATTATTATATTATTTTAAGAATCAATGAAACATCATGGTTTAGTTCGTTGTATGGGAAGGGGAGGTGGGGTCCTTTTTGAGTTTCTCCGTTATAATCGCCACAGCTAAATGTATAGATTAAAAGTACGTCATAAAAAAAAAAAATTTAGTTCCGGAAAAGAATAAATGTTTATTTTGACTGTGACCTAGTGGCCTATGACGTCAAACTTAAATGCAATCGTTGTCATTATGCTGGACGCAGTACGCCAGTACGCAACGGATTATATAATATTTCAAGTATCTTACTACACATAATTAATTCAGCCCCGAGTCCTATAATAAATATGTATTGTGATTTGTAATACGATATTGATTATGTGTACGATTGCAGCTCTACCATCACTGTCTGTTCGGCACGAGGTTCGACTTCCTGTGCGCCAACTATACAGCTTTCGATCAAAAGACGTTCATTTGCCATTTTGTGTCCCAGGTGGACTGCCCAAACTCGGCCAAGTACTTTAGCAGGTAATTACGACGTCACGACGTACGCATCATAAATATATATTACCTATATTTTATAACACCGATATGACGTTCGCGTCGTGAATGTTGGCAGTAGGTATGATAATATACATTATATATATATTATTTATATCAACGTAATAATAATAAACCTAATGCGTGCTGTCAAAACACCGAGTTATTATACGGCACTCTGCCGTAGTGAATATTATAATGTTATACACGGTGATTCTACAAGCTACTCACTATTAATTTGAACGAGTATTTGTTCGGTTATTTTAACGTTTATATTAAGGATAATGTATAATAGTCCTTAAAAATTGTTTTACAAAAATAAAAAATATGTATAATGTCAGATCTAGCATTTATTATATTTGAATTCTTTAAAAAAATTATCAATGTTGATGGATTAATATAAATTATTATAACTTTTAAATCACTATAGCCGCTGTCCATATCTTCCAAACCCATTATTATTTATTATGGACCTATTATCTTCAGTTCACTAACTTAAATAACCTCAAATAATCGTTCGAATTTTGAATTTTCGACATTTTCAGCAAATTATCCACTAATAATGGTTTATCGCATAAAAAATATTATCATTTCTATCTTCTTAGTAGAACAAAAGTTTTAAAATAAGATTTTAAGTAGGTTCATTTAAAAATTACAAAAATCAGATTTTAAATAACTGCATTATTAAAAAAGAAAGAATATTGATCAAACTTGATGAATCACTCTGTATAAACATGTTATACGGATAATATTCACAGTGTACACACGTACCATAAGAATCTATGTCTTATTATACCAATTATGAAATAGTTTTGCGAGAATGTCTACGTCGAAATGGTTTTTTTTCTTTCGTAAATTATGTTTATAAAACCCAATCGACCGTTTAACCGCAGCAGCCATAAATTTATAAATATAAAATTTCGCATAGATTATTTGGATTGTAGAACCTAATGAAGACGGTGAAAAAAAACGTACTAGTAACGTAAAAGACGACTAAATCTAAAACTATCGCATATCTATATAACAATTAACAGCGGTGTATGATGTGGAATGTCTGTTGGTGCTCTAATAGTTAACACATTATACAGTCTGATTTACCAATCAGCCTAATCCTTTTTTTTTTTAATAATACAGTTATTAAAATAACCCTGATTTTTGGAATTTTTAAATATATCTTAAGTCTATAATTTTAAATTCTTGAGATTTTTGTTCTACCAAAGGACTGTCCTTTGCCCTGTAGTGATACAAATTTCTTTTTTTAAATGAAGAGTCCATCTTTTACTAAAAACTATTTGGTGGATAATTTTTTTTGAATTATTGACAAATAGAAATTAAGTGAGTAGTTTTTGAGTTATTTAATTTTGTTTATTAAGAATAATAGGACCATAATAATATAGGTTTGGAAAATATGAACTAACTATGATGATTTGAGTGCTTTAGTAATTAATATTATATAACCTATTAACTTTTTATAATTTGTAAAAATGGTCTAAGTATAATAAACACTAGATTTGACATTGCATTTATTTAATATTTTTCTAAAACCGTTTTTAAGAACTATTATTTTTAGAGTAAACATTTTAATAACTAAAAAACTACTCGTTTGAATTTTGAATTAGATACATAAAACTTTTTAAAGAAGATAATCCATTTATCGTACAGGATTTACCGAAGTTTAATAATACCACAAGACTCTCTTTGAGTATAGGTAGTACAAAAAAAAAAATATCAAGAATTCGAAAATAACTACACCCTACGGTCTTAAGATATATTTAAGAGTTCCGATTAGCAGAATTTGAATAAGTTCATAATCAAAGGAAATCATTGGGATGAGCATGCTTGGTAAATCGCCCTGCACCTACATTTCTATTTTTTTAAATCCTACGCGCACACATACTAATACATAAACGTCATTATTAAGACGTAGAATTTGATTTTGTCGGTTAACGTTCAAAATCGTCTTACGCGTCAGTGCGAAAATATTATTACCTACCTATTATCAAAAAGTGGTATTTATTTGTTTGATTTTTAACATTTCTTAAACGTCTTTACAATTTCGAATTAAAAAAATCGAACGATGAAAATATGTACGCAGAAATGACGCACTGTATAAAGCCGCCGAAACGACGACACTGCCAACGACCACTACGTCCACGACGGCCGCGCCACAACAGCAGCAGCAACAACAACAACAACAACAACTGCAACCACAACAACAGCAGCAGCAGCAGCAGCAGCAACAACAGCAACCGTTCTATCCGCAGTACCAACAGCAGCAGATGCCGTACGAAGGGCGCAGGGCCATGCCGCCAGGTTACGCGCAGGGCCGGAAGCGCAGGCCCACGTACCGGAGGCGCAGGCCCGTGTACGAGTATTATTACGTGGACGACTACGACGACCAGCAGGAGTACTACGACGATAGCGTCGAGCACGTGCCGGTGGCCAAAAAGCCTGTAAGGAAGCATTCTCGATTCAACAGTGAGTGTATATAATAATTAATAATATTGTTATTGTCGTTATCGACTTTTTAAACATATAGCGACCGGGTCGTACCGGGTTGTCTCCCGACCTACGGGTTGCGATCCAAAATTCCGGTCATAAGATATTTTCGATGTTTCGCCATAGTAAAAAAAAATTGTAATGACAATGGGAGAACAAACAAAATTAAATTAAAATTCTAAGATAACCTAACCTATATAGCCTACTAGTATACGATGATAAAATGTAAACGACTTAAACGCGTATAACTGGCTGTGAGATCATTGATTTTGTTTTTTTTTGTTTTTGAATTTACACGGACGAGAAAAGCTATGTACGCTTAAATCCACTTGGATTTTTCAAATTTTACCAAAAAAAAAAAAATAAAAGCTCCTAATGGCGTAGGTATACATTATGCTTTCGATATAGATTTGTGTGTGGCTTATTTTTTTTTTTCGCTCACTCCTCTCAATTGAGACCTTAGCATATTTCATATTAATCGTATCAGTCTGCGTATCGCATGGTTAGTTGAACGTTAAACATTTCACACGCGTGTTAAACGTAATTTTCAACGACCGCGGCTGGCGCTGTAATTTAAAACAATCACGAATTTCGCGTCTTGATATTATTGTGTAACACGAAAACGATACGTCTGTGAAGTCTGCCGTCGTCGCGAGCACGTCCAATGAGGTTTTTTAATCGATGCACAGTGCATAGCGTACATGTACACAAATCAAAGGCAAGCTCACGATTGGCTAGTGCGTGTCTTTCACATATCTACGTAAAGTGCTCGTCGGACGGCGACACAAGTCTGTCGGCTATCACCGTCGTGCGCGTTTTATAAATTAAAAATTAATTTTTTTTCAACATTTTCTATCATTAATATATAAATATATTCTATCAATGTTATGTAGGTACCTACCGCCTTTCGCTGAAATCGGCTTAAATACATTTTCAAAATATATATATGTACGCTTATTCTTTTAGAAAGTCTCGTGTATTATTATTATGGCTTATGAGGTGGATACGAATATAAAATAAAAACCCAAATAGTTGTGTTTAATATTAACCCAACCAGATCAGAATTAGGTATGTATAATAAAAATCGTGATTCACGTAATTTCAATCATTTAAGATAACATCATAAAATAACTATTATATATAGATACGCTATACTTTTTGACATATAAATTATAATTTATATGTAATTATCATCCACATTGCTCGCGCACACTAATTTGAAAGTTTCATTATTCGTTGTCATATTAATACTCATGTGAGTACCTGTACGTATTGAATATGTAACGTTTCAACGTTTGACTGTTTTCATTTCGGCTGAAATTTGAAGTGATCTGTAGGTGGAAAGGTAAAGATTGAGTTTTCGTTCGCTGGGTTCAATTGATATGATCTACGATCGTAGGGGGAGGGGGGGTTCTAGTGTACCATATTATGGTGGCGTTTCAAACCGTTGTTTTCAGTAACCATAACCAGTCGTTAACGCGTTTCAGATTACAAGCAAGCCGACCTAGAAGCCGATTACCAGGAAAGCAGTTTGGAATCGGACGCGCCGCCGAGCGGTAACTTTAAACAACACAGAGGACAACAGCAGCATGCGCCGCAACAGCAACAACAACAACAACAACAGCAGCAGCAACAACAGCAGCAACAACAACAGCAACAGCCACGGCAGCAGCAACAACCGTCGTCAACCGCAGTGACGAAGAACGTGTCCAATCAGATATCCTCGGTTTACGACAAGCCCAGGGCCCCGCCCAAGATCCGCCGCCCGGTTCCCATCAACGAACGGGATCGATACGATTACACGTCTGTTTCCAAGTCTGGCCTACAACCCGGTCCTTCGGCGGCCGCGGCTCCCGTGTCCACCAGCACTACCACCACCACCACCACCACCACAGAAGTTGCGCCGAAGGCCAGAGAACCGCAACGGCCGGCCGCGACCGAGCTGTTGTACTTCGTTCAGTTACGTAGCATCGTAATACTCGACAGGGTCTTCGGTGAA